CTGAAGAGCTAGAAAAGAACCTACTTCTCTGCGATAAAAACGAGTTGATTTGGCTTAGATGCTGATCACTGGATTGAGAGAAGTGTAAAACCATATCAGGTTTTAAAAAGAAAAACGACTCAAATGTCACTTTTCTATAAATATTATCAGTTGGGCTGTTTAGGGTTTATCCAGATATCGATATAAAGGAGGCGCTGAAAAGATACTGGCCTATTTCACCTCGAAATATCTGATCAGATGACCAAACCACATACTTTTTTTTCAGCACTAGTGCTGTGTCGCGCCAGAAAATTTATCTCGCCCGAGTCTATCCTTCAAATCTATAACTCAACCATATATGACAGCAATATTCCATGCAAAGGCGAATCCCTTGCATGGAATATTGCTGTCATATATGGCCTGGAGGCCCCGCTGTTCGTCTTAGGGCCCTCAACAAAATCCAGAAACGAATATGCAATGTGGTTGGCCCTGATCTGGCATCTCGTTTACAGTCGCTCTCTCACAGACGTGCCGTCGCTTCCCTCTGTCTTTTCTACAAATACTTTCACGGTAACTGCTCCGACGAGCTGTTTTCGCTGATTCCCGAGCAGCATGAATTTAAACGTGCCACTAGGTCGGCATCTCAGTCCCACCCTTTCACTGTCAAAACGGTTAAATGTAGTCGTCTTTTCTACTTCATTAGCTTTATGTCTCGCACTTCCCGTCTGTGGAACTCCCTTCCTCTTACTTGCTTCCCTGACAGCTATAATCTCCAACTATTCAAATGCAATGCCAATCGACATCTCCAGATGCCTTGATCTAATTCCCCGTCCTTCTCTTCATCTTTTCCTCTCTCACGCCTCTTTACCCTTGCTCCCATTTTCTGTAACCCCTTGCGTGCTAGTGGCACTCCCGCCTTGCATGGGCTGAAAGTTTTTAAAAAAATATGCAAAAATGAAAATAATGCTGACATTTCATTTTAACAGATATATTTACCAAAATTACACAAAAATATCTTAAAATACTAAAGAATAAATTTATTTTAATAAAATCGCTATTGGCTTCAACAACGGTCCCTAGGCTACTTCGGAATCTCCTGCAACTCTTCCGAACGGTCTACTTGTTTAAGTTGGTGAATGCTGTCATAAATCTTTGCCTTCAGTTCATCTTTGGGGTTACAAGGGGTTTTGTTGGTCTCTCTCTCAACTGCTTCTCACACATAATAATCAAGGAGTTTGCAGTCTGGGAGTTAAATAGCCAGATGTAAGAGGTGATGTAGTCTCGGAAATTGTCAGACAGCCATGACTGGGTTCTCCTGCTTGTGTGACATGGTGCAGAGTCCTGTTGCCAGATATAGGGTCTTCCAGCAGATATTCTCTTAACCCGTGGCAACACTACCTACCGTGGAAAGATGAATGGAGGCATAACGCCGCCATCACAAGTGATCACTGCAAAGACGATGATATTCACTGGCTATATCATCCAACTCTTTCCGAATCCTCTGCACTGTCGTCTTCAGATTGACACACAGACACTCTGAAATGTTCCTATTGGAGCTTCCGGTGCGAATGTCAAGAAGTATACGATGCCATTTCCAAATTTCTGGCTGAGTGAATTGCATCATGGTGCTCTTTTTCTTGTAAACGGTACCCAGCTGACTCTACTATAATGTGCAATCGACAAAAAAACAAAAAACAAAAAAAAAACGCGCATGCGCGAAACTAAAAATATAAAATGGCGACAATTTACACAACGCACCCTGTATATATATATATATATGCCCTATAGGCAAAAAGATTGACGTCACACTGCATTTCTTTAAAAATCACGTTAAAATGAGATATTTTTTTGTATATTTTTAAAATAAAAGATCAAATTTTAGTACCTACAGCGTATTGCTTTTATTTTTCAGTCTGTCTCTAGACTCCTCTTAATACCAAAAAGTTCAAATTTTGGATTTCATTCACAGCGTTATCATTCCGTCATCAGAGTATTTTCATTGGCTTTCTACAGCTTTAAACCACAAGTTTGGCATAAGGTTAATGCACAAGAGTCCGAAATTGTTTTTTAGCATAATTTTTTTCTTCTTATACATGTATATTGATTGATTCGCTTTCTACGGCTTATCAACCCTTTACATGTTATTTAAAGCCAGAAAATATTTTTAGATTGTAAAATTTTTTAGGGAGAGATAATAATGATTTAGTGATACAAGCCTCACTAATTAACCCAAAGAAGAAGTTGGGGGAAGAAGAAGTGTATTCAACCCTTTCCCAAGTTTATTTGCGTGTAAGTGAATATAACGAACCCAACTGGAATGGGAACACGGCTCTCCGATTAAGAATTCCCATCCATTATTCATTTCACCGCCCGCACATTCAAGTTTGCAGCACCTGGTATTCCCAAGCGGTTACCCATCTAGGTACTGACCAGTCTCGACGTTGCTTAACCGGTGTTTCTACATGATGTGGCCGAGACCAGAAATTCATGTCTATTGGCCTAGAGATGGTGAGGTTTTAATAAAAATCTGTTTCACTCGATAGGAATTGAATGTGTATTTCTTCTTTTACTGGTAGGCTGGGGTCGACAACTCTTTGCTAACTATATGACGACTTAGGGTTTTAAAATCATTCAGTGAGCCAACAGCATACGAATTTTTATACAAGTCAAGGTCAATATCACGCGTGCCGTAGGTCGCCGACACTTGGTGTTACGTATGTACTGCCAACTAAGGAGCAATTCAAAATATAATGGTTGGATGACACCCAACCCAACCTCCATTCCAACGGAAAAAGAAACATTACTCATTTTTTCATAGAAAATGTTCTTTTACGTGATCAAAAAGACATTCATTTAGACCAGGGATCGACAACCATTTGCTAATTATGTACCAACTTAGGCTTTTAAAATCATTCAGTGTGCCAACAGCCTACGTATTTTTATACAAGTCAAGGTCAATATACCTGTTCTACAATATATTTTATATAGTAATATAGACAATTATATGTAAACACATTAATAGAAATAAACTGTTTTTTAGAAAATACCACGCTCTGTGACACTATAAAGCAGAGGTCGGCGACCTTTTGCTAACTATATAACGACTTAGGGCTTTAAAATCATTCAGTGTGACAACAGCAAATGTATTTTTATACAAGTCAAGGTCAATACACCTGTTCTACAATATATTCTATATAGTAATATATAGTATACATACTTTAGTATATATTAAAATTGAAACAGCTAAATATCTTCTTTGCGTTGTAGTAGTTATTGGGTCGGACTTTGTGATGTCATTTGCGGCTGCGTGCCATTGGAAGTCATTTTGAAAAACGAAACACAATCTATAAGTCTTTTTTCTCCATTTTGTCATTCGATTAGCTATTATCAATATGTAATTATATAGATTTATATATCGTATCTTCCAAATTTTCTATATGGAAAAACTATAGATATTAAGCAAATATTAACTATTAAAACCGAGCAAAGTGGTCACTCATCATTGCTTAACTTCGGTGATCGTACAGAAACTAGTGTTTCATCTCTATACTTCCTGCTGCAATAAGTCGCCATTGTTTGTGTAGTTTTCTCGTGCGATTACCGAAGTTAAGCAACGTCAAGCCTTCTCAGTAATTAGATAGGTGACCGCTTGGAAATACCAGATCGAATGGTGCAATGACATACGTCTCGGAGAACTATGTCACAATACCAGTTGGGTTCATTATATTCACTGAGGCGCATATATCCTTGGGAAAGGTATGAATCCACCTCTTCTCCCCCAGGTATGGGTTAATTAGTCGAACTTATATCAGTAAAATCATTAATATCTTAAAAAAATTCTTAAAATCTAAAATAATTTCCGGTTAAATAACCTACAAGAGGTTGATAAGCCGTAAAAAAACGAATCAATCAATCGTAACTGGAAGTTGTAACTTTTCATTGACAATCATTAGCAATACATTTCAATTATACTTGTAATAGCCTTATTCTACCAGCAATACATGTATAAATTCTTAATCAATGACAATCCCTTCCTTCCTGATTTTCAAAACATTTGTACGATAAAAAAAATAGTAAAAACATTATGCAAACAATAAAACTATTCTGTTAGTAATGCTTGCATTAATACATGGGTGCTTGGCGTTCTGGCTCGACACTTGATATGATGCTAGAGATTAAACCAAAGATTTTATCGCCTGTAGAATTAACCATGTGGAAATTAGAAACACTTAAAAAGCTGGCCTTTGTCCTTGCGTTTCTGTTCAGTCAAACGCCTTCAATTTTTGGTTCTAAAAAGAAAGGGGAAAAAAAATAATAACAAGATGGCGTCACAGTCAGTTGGCTACGCAAAGACCCCGATATCTTTAATTGACGAAAAGGACCTGATGTTTATAATTGGATCCTGTGAGATTTGTTTGTACTGGGTACGCAAGCACTTCTCGTAATAACGATGTCGATAATAGCAATATGGCGTCACAGTCTGTTGGCTGCGCAAAGGCCCTGATATTTATAATTAACGTAAAAGCCGTGATGTTTATAATTGGATTCCGGGATATTTATTCGCACACAGTATGCAAAGCGCGTCTCGTGAACTCATCTCTAATGCTGTAAGTTTCGATTCTCACGGACTCCCCAATATTGTGGCCTTGTGTCAGATGAAGCAATCTGTATGTCTTAGCAAGGATTATTATTCTTCGAACTATATGGAGTGGCGCTACAAAATCACAGGGAAAGAATTATTCCAAATAACGGATACCACATCGCATGTGGATTTTAATTGCAGCAACAACAAAAAAAGGCATCTAAATATATGTAACTCAAAGAGAAAATGATGACATAATTAAGATGTTGATATAATCAAGGTGTTGGCTTTCCGCACTACCTCAAACAAAAGGCTGGGAAGGAAACACCCATCAATACTGGAAAGAGCGATAACAGTTACTGAATTTGAGAAAGCGATTTCCCCGAAAAATTGTTTTATAAAGTTCAACCGAACGGAGCAATTGCTGATCGGTTAATGA